GTTGAACACCTTTGTGTTCCCGCTGCTCGTTTGCCCCCCCCCCCCCTTCTGTTATAAAAACAAAAATACAATACCTATTCTTAAGTATACAGGATTACTTTTTATTGGAGATACTAATCTTATTTGTGAAATAGTACAATCAACATAAAGAAGCTTATTGGTCGATCTCAATAAATATACAGGGTGTCTGCACGTGTGTTTGTGTGTGTTTCGTGCTCACACACCCACACGAAAAGCGTTTCTTTATTTTTAAAAAGAATTTTTACAGAGTTTTGGTCCGTATTCTTTTTTGCACATATTCCTTATACTAAATTACTGTAGTGAGTCTTTTTTTATTTTATTGACCTATGCACATGGAGGCAGCAATTAGAAAAAATAGAGTGGCTATTCGCTAATTCATTTAATTGTTAATTTTTACGTGTTTTTTTTTATATCATAAGGTGGCAAACGAGCGAGCGACCACCTGAAATCGCTGAAATAGCGAAGTGACCGTTGCCCATAGATATGCGCAATTGCATATGTGTTGCCTACCTTTAATCGACGGAGAAAAGGATGCACAGAGAGAAAATATTTTCACTTTGCATGCTTCCGCTTCCCATCCTTTCCTTATAAGAAATAGGGTGGGAAAGGAAAGAGGACTAAATTAGGCCTGGGGACGCACACTCATCAGACGAAACGCGGAATTGCTTCCACTTCACGTCTGTCTTCTGTGTGGTCGTGGTATTTCACCGGGCATGCCGGGACAATTCGTGCGAAGATGTTAAAGCGGGCTCTACCATTGTTAAAATTACTACAGGATATACATTTTTTTGTAACCAAGTTGATGTTTGTCTTTAATTCATGTGTTGTTTTGTATCACAGTGAGCCTCGTGCAAAAGATGCTAATTATCTGACTGTAACTTTCCACCAAAAGAAACAAAAACATATTGTCATCGGAGATTTTCTTTGCTTGAATATTTTCGGTGTTACGACTATTTTTAACGTTTATAAACACGCATATTTTCCATGTTACGTAGTTTTGTATTTAAACCACATTCACACAAATTATATATTATATTAGAATAATAAATATGAATAAAAATACGTTTATTCTTAAGAGACAATTGACAGTGGGAACTCACGGCTTTGTTATTCTATGATTTATGTCTGTGTTTCTGACAATCAAGTTCAAAAAAAAGTGTAGCAAAAGGTTCACTCTTTTTGTACCTAAATTAATATATTTATTTTTTCGTTTACTTAAGTATTATTTTTCTTAATCTATTAAAAATGTTAGTCCTTTTTTACAAAATTGTAGTGGTCTCTTAAAGAAGATTCGATAAATTGTAATTTTATTTTAAAGTACATATAATACAATAAAATCACTTCTTTGTTTTTTGTTTTGTATCTGCGCCTGGAGAAATTTTATAGCATTTATTATCTAGGAACTTTTACTATCGCTCTTAGAAACTCGGAACTAACTTTTTTACATATTATTTCACTTTGTTGAGGAAATAATATAAATATATGTTATATTTATATTTCTACGTTAAATTTGTCCACGATAACATCCTTCTCTTCAAATATTTTCAATAAAAGTGTTTTAATTTAAAATTGTGAAATTTATCAGTGGCCGAAATGGTTTTGTAGAATTGTTAACATCTTGAATTCTGATTTACTTGGACTTAGTCATTAAAAGTTTGTGTCTAAATATAGACGATAATTACTTGAAATACGTTTATGATTTCAAAATGCAAATGTAATGTAAATGTAAAATAGTTTGGTCTTAAAATATTTTCAGACAAACGCCTAATAATACTTTTCATGACTAATTTATCTTAAATGCCAAATAGTTTTGTTATTTAATTTACATTTGTATATTAATTAGCAATAAAAAATATAAATCTTTTAATGTTCAGATTATAATTCAGGTTTTGAAGATTTACGTTGCGTTGTGCACGAAGGGCTTTAATCGCCAAAACCAGTCGCTCGCAGTCTGTTTGTCCAAAGTTCGTCGTCAGAAAAATTTATGCGATTTTAAAGATGGCGGAATAAATCCATACAGTTGATATGTCGACTACACATTTATCTCTATAAATGGATAGGTTACAAAATACAGTTTTGGTCTGTTCTTCGTTGGACTAACCTGATAAAGTGCCCGACAGTTAATACCATCTTTATTATTAGTTTTAAAACTCACCACCGCCATCAACCGCAACCGTCAGCGCCAAAATGGCGAAAACCAAACAGGCACAAAATACTATAGCTTATAGCCTGTCTATGGATAGAGGTCATTACGACTATGACTATGCTCTGGCTGAATGGACAAATCGCATCGACGATTTGTGTATAGTTCAACGTGATACTCAAATGATTACATAGTTTTTATCTCGATTTTTTACTTAATGTTTTGTAAGTAATGGTATTCGTGTAAAGTCGGAATGCGGCACTAGTTGATAATTTATTTTTTAAGTATTCTATGTTGCCAATCAAACTGGTTTCAATGTTTCAATTTAGTGACCAAACATACTATAGAATATATATTACAGTAGGGCACAAAATCAGCGCTGGCATACAAAGCGCAAATTATAAAAACTGGCGCCAGTGAGCCAAAACAGTACATGTGAGAACAGTACTACTGTCTTACTATACTGGCATAATGTAAACCAGTCATTACTAATATTTCTTTAACCATTCCAACTAAGCTCTAGGCTTGTGCTAGGATATGGTTTACGACAATAGTCGAATGGCGGGATTCGAACCCCCGACTTCGTGGTCGGAAATCCGTACCCTTAACCATTAGGCTATCAATAGCCTAATGGTTAAAGGTCAACCTTTATTTATGAAGTTGGTATGTTAGTCAGGTCTAGTGATGGGCAAATAGTAGCAGTAACATTTTTTACCAACATACAAAAGAGTAAAACTATTTTTACGACCTTCCAGTTTACATGATTTATTAATCTTGCAACAACGATCATTTACGCTAAAAATGCAAAAATTATTCTTCGTTTCAAATTGTTCCGCAATTATCTCTCGTTATATTTAGTAAAATCAGGTTTAAAAAAAAACTTCAAGCTTTTTTAATCTTTATTTCTATTAAATTATGCAAAAATCATACAGTCTTTCGTGTTATTTCAATTTAACAAAACGCGATACAAAGATATATGCAAAAAATACTGGACCAAAATTATAGCAAAAAATGACACTTGCAACTTTTATTAAAAATAAATAAAACAAATAATCTGTGCAACATCCACAATATATAAAATAAGCATTGGTATTCACTGATGAAAATTTAAAAAATATTCCATGTCCTTTAGATTTTTCTTGTCTTATTTGTTTTTTTATATATATCATAAGGTGGCAAACGAGCGAGCGGCCACCTGAAATCGCTGATACAGCGAAGTGACCGTTACCCATAGACATACGCAATTGCATATGCGTTGTCTACCTTTAATCGACGGGGGAGAGGATGCACAGAAAGAAAATATATTCCCTTTCCATGCATCCTCTCATCCGGAAAGTCCACTTCGGCTTCCCATCCTTTCCTTATAAGAAAAAGGTGGGAAGGGAAAGAAGACTAAATTAGGCCTCCGGGACGCAAAAACGTTAAAACTCACGGGTTACCATGGTAATATTTTCAGTACGGAGATAAATATATAATTAATATGATTTAAATAAATTAGTAATAATAATAATAACGTTATATAATTAAAATATCGTTTAAATGAGATACGTTAAAGAGATAATATTGCAGACTTATTTTCGTAGTTTAAATATTTATTTTAAATAGTGAAGTGCTAAGAAAATCGATATCGAACACACTGTTCTGTAAAATAATCACTCGTTTAAGTTTTATGTATTTGCATTAATTACATTATATAAAGAAAAGAAAGAAAAGAAAAATAAACAAATAGATTTCAGAAATTATGTTGGTTTGATCCAAAAAAAATATTAGCCTTGAATTACATCCTTTCGGAGAAGTATTAAGTTCGAAAAGAACTTCGCAAACGGATGAAATACTGTCAAAATGGCCCTTTTTTACAATTTTATAATGTTTGGAAATAAATATTTTCGAAAAAAAAATTATTTTTCCAAAAATTTAAAAATAAATGTAGACTTACTACAAAAATCTAGTAATAAACATAGATTACGGGCATCAAAATCTTCATAATTAAGAAGAAATCTGAAATGACGATTTCATCGCAAACCAGTGTAGTTTATCGGTAACTTCGACATCACTAAAACATTTCAAACGGCAAAATATTTTCGTCTATAATAACAGTTGTCCTTGTTTTTCTCAAAGGGAATGAAATGGATAGCAATATATTTGAGATTACAATTTTTTTTATAACAGAAGGGGGCAAACGAGCAGCAGGAACACCGAAGTGTTCAACGACGTTCTATGGACATCAGCAATACCAGAGGAACCGCAGATGCGTTGCCGGCCTTTGAGATAGTGATAAGCTCGCTTCTTTAAGGACCCTAAATCGTAGCGGTTTGGAAATACCGACAAGGACAGACCATTCCACAACGCTGCTGTGCGAGGCAGGAAGTTTCGTATTTAACAGTGGTAGAGCCCGCTTTAACATCTTCGCACGAATTGTCCCGGCTCGCCCGGTGAAATACCACGACCACACAGAAGACAGCCGTCAAGTGGAAGCTATTCCGCGTGCAGTCTGATGAGTGTGCGTCCCGGAGGCCTTATTTAGCCCTCTTTCCCTTCCCACCCTTTTCTTACAAGGAAAGGATGGGAAGTGGAAGTGGACTTTCCGGATGAGAGGATGCATGGAAAGGGACTATATTTTCTTACTGTGCATCCTCTCCTCCGTCGATCAAAGGTAGGCAACGCAGATGCGATTGCGTATGTCTATGGGTAACGGTCACTTCGCTGTATCAGCGATTTCAGGTGATCACTCGCTCGTTTGCCACCTTATGATATAAAAAAAAAACCGCACGGTTGTGGATTGCCAGCCATCGAGATGGTGTGGATGAAATTATTTGTATAGATTTATAAATATAATATATAATTTCTTTTGAATTCGAATCAAAATTACAATAATATTAACAATACTGATGTATTATGTAATCTTATAAACTAAGAGTATATAAGTATTTTTATATAATAGAGTGGTATGTTATCAAAGCGTTATATTAATAAATATATCTAATTACATTTTAAATACTATCTAGTAACTATTAATAAAACAATATCAATTAAAAATTTAATTTAAAAAAAAACAAGCGTAGCAGAGGGAAAGAGAGCGGTGAGGGAAAGAGAGGGAAAGACATAGGTCTTCCATCTCCATATCGGATATATCCTTCTCGGAGACGGACAGCTATACCGAGGAGGCGTTTGCGTGGGTACTGACGAGCCAACATAAAAAGCCAAACTGTCGGCCCCGAGGCTTCCCCTCAAATTTCCAACTGAGAGGTAGAGGAGGGCACTGAATGAGGTAAAGCCAGTGGACCCATTGGTCACTAAGGTTGCCTCAGAGATTTCAGCCTTATAAAGGTAAAATTATTTGAGTAAATTTGTTATAATTCATTTCCCTAAAATTCGAATTATATTATTTAAAAACAAATACATACGATTACACTGGATACAAAACTGATTTCTATAAATGGATAGGCGATTGCTTGGAAGTGACTGATTTATATGTTCCGATTTAAACGCGCCTGTTTATGTTAAATGTCAATTCTATCTATATTATTAGTTCAAATCAACGTCGCTACAAGCCGCTACCATCAGCGACAAAATGGCGAAAATCAAATACGCACAAATTACAACTTCGTATAGCCAGTTCATTTGTAGAGGTCAGTAAGAACGACAAAACAATATTATGAAAGTATATCTCTACTTATACTAAGTTCACACTTAATATATCAGACATTCACATGGTAATATTTTGTGTAATTGTTTTCAATGGGAACACACGGTTAACTTGTTTCTATACCAGATAGATTAATATAATACTGATAGTTTTAAAATTGTTAACACAAGACCCTAAAATTCCGCAACACGACTACCAAAAATACTTTGGCTTGACGGGGCACTGATATGTCTCTTAATTAAACAGAAAAACATCGTCCCGACACTTGCATACATTATTGTTGTCCCTGTCTCTTACAACAAGAATCAAAAGGATAGCAATATACAGGTGTAAAATATAGAGATTCGTAATTAGAGAACTACAGCGTAATAGCAGAATTAAGGTTCTAAGTTTCATTGGAAATTCTAGAAAACCATTGTTTGACGTCGATATGTACCTTCAAGAGTTACCAGTTATCCAAAAAATCGTATCCTGTCTTCGGCAGACTGGTGCCTTCCGTGAGTGTCTCAGTTGACTGGAAGTCGGTGCCAGAAGACGCTTGACTAGATGACAGCAGACCACGATTCTCCTCTGACAAATCTGAAATTTTACGTGTACCATATTAAATATAAAAATTGATTTATTACCATCGACTCGCCTGACGACTTCGCTTTCACCTTACTAGTATTATAAATGCAAAATTTAGATGTATGGATGGATGTTTGTTAGTAGGTATCTCCAGAACCTTTACATGGATCTCACTTCAATTTGACATAGATGTAGAACATAGTCTGGAAGAACACATAGGTACTAATAAAATTATTCAAACTTTCGTGAGACATTATCTTAAACTTATAAAAAAAACTATCACCAGAAAGAAGAAGAAACATACGTGTGTTTAAGCCGTTTTTCTATGAGCTACTAATTAAGATTTCTTTTAATTTCGTGCGGACAGAGTTGCAGGCGACAGCTAGTATGAAAATATAGTGCGTGGATCGTATTGAGGCCTTATTCCGCAAGGCTAAGATTATTAGACAGTATGGACTGTAGCTAGCCGCTTAGTGCAAAAAGGGTCTAAATATATCTGTTATTTCAAAGAATCATATAGTTTTAAAAAAAAACGGTCATATTGCCGTCTCTCTCAATCTCTTTGAAAAAAGTGAGACAACATTTATATACGAATGTTTTACATAAGTTTTCACACTTGTATATACTTTAGTTTAGAAATTGCATCATTTAATATGGACGCAGCGTTACGTTGGCATACGCGTATATTTTATAAAAACAATTTACAAGATTGCATTTATTATACAATTAACGTAATATGTAAGTTTAAGACCACGTAACAGTCTTATATAAACACTTGCTCTCGCCCCCGACTCCATTCGCGCGCGAATTAAAAAATATTAAGAAGCCTATGTGTTCTTCCAGGATATGTTCTATATGTATACCAAATTTCATCAAGATTCTTGCCCTTCTGGGGATACTTTCAAACTTGCATCCATCGACCCATCTAAACATTCATCTTACATATAAAATTCTCGTGTCAAAATTTTCGTTCCCATACTCCTCCGAAACGGCTTAACCGATTCTCATTTTGTGAGCATATTGAGTAGGTCTGAGAATCGGCCAACATCTATTTTTAATGCCGCGCGTACCGAATCGCGGGCGACAGTAGTATTTATTATATTAGTAAGATTTCTATTTTATTGTGAACACCTTTAGTCTAATTTAACCGATTCTAAAGAGGTGTAGCTTGGTACATATTGACGTGTCACTATTTCACTTATTCTCCATCAAAAAGACAACGATAGCACGCTTTCCTACGCATTATTCGGTACTGCAACTAACTAACCGTGGATTTCTAAGACCAAATGCCAATTTTTAAACGTATTATCTGTTTTATCAAAGATAATGACGATATGTTTTACAAACAAATTTCTCAGAAACCAACGGTTAATGTTTAACTTATTTATTCAGATTAATTCTTCGCACATCGTAACTTGATTTGAACTACGTGATCTTTGTTACATTTGTGACTACGTGCCATCCTTGTCATTTCCTTTGTAAAAAATAGAGATAACTATATGTTTATACAGAAACTGTGAAATTATAATGCAAAGTGTGACAAAATGGCGCCAGTTAAACGCTACTAAGCGACTTTCGGAAGGATTTGTATACTAAAGTGATTAAAAATTACTTTCGAAAGAACGTTTAACGAATATATAATATCTTATGCAATTGCTATATACAACAGACTTGATTACATAAATAAAAATCATTCTCTCACTGGTATAAAGTGTTTGAGTTTAAATTATTCGTAATACAGTCGATCCTGGATAAGCGAGAAAGATATTACGATCCCTTAGACCAGTCTTTCCCAATGTGGGCGACAACGCTTTCTTGTGGGCGCTGCATGTCTCAAGTTGCGGGTTACAGTAAAAGTTTCGTTTAGAATTCTCCGTTAATATACATATATAGGTCACAATAATTAATTAATTTAATTTGAAGTTATATTGGTTTTTAAATATGTGAAAATATGGGGGCGCTAAAAAAATATTTATTCTCAAAGTGGGCAGTAAACAAAATAAGTTTGGAAACTACTGCTTTAGACCATCTCTTATCGAGTTTTGACTATATTCGTGTACTATTCATAGCAAATGCTCTTATCAAAATATGCATAAAACTTCAAAAAAACAGTCTGATATTCAAATATTTACGTAGAGAAATATGAAATAGAAATAAAATAATTAATCTTATGTTCCCTAAAATCCTTTAGATGTTCAAATTCCATAAAATCTCATTATTAAGACTTATTAAATTCCTAGAGAATATACTTAGGATAGAAAATAACTAACTAGGTTATCCATTCTGTCTTTCCCACAAACTCTATGTAGGGCACCAGAATTACGTCCACATCGTGCTATCAGCAACCTTCTTAAGCACACTAATAAACATGTCTTATCGTTCATATTCATTGTTATCCAATACATTGTATTTGTACGTGGTAAATACATAAATTGGGAATCTACATTTGAAGTGTTGATAAGAAATAGCTACGACACAGAGTATAGCCGTCCAATATGCGCTTACTGTTTAAATTTTGATCCATTTTAAGAAAACTTTCCAATATGAACTCTTGCTTTCGTTCTCAAAAGATACCTTTTGGGATCGGGGGTGAAATCTTCAAAAGACTCACTACCTTTTTGGGGGAAAAACAAGATGAAGTAGGATTTCCAAGGATTAAAACCACCTCGGTGACTATCCTCAAGTTGAGGGTCTCTGAATCTCCAATAGAACTCACCGGGACCCTCTAAACTAAGCTACTACACGACCCTAGGAAAATACGTAGACCACGTCATGCTGCTGTCTTCACGGTCTCGAAAGAGCTAGCTTTCATTCTATAGATCAATGCAAACCAAATCATAAATTTTAGATGGATGACTGTTTGTTAGAAAGTATCTTCAGAATGTTTAACCGGATCCCGATAAAAATTTTCATAGATGTAGAACATAATCTGGAAGAACACATGGGCTACTAATAGTTTATTATTCCTCGCAGACAGAATCGCGGACGACAGCTAGTCTATAATAAAGGTGTTATTTATAGATGTGTCATACACACAACCCACTCACAAACTCAATCTAATAGTGAATCACCTGAGGACTATGAGGACATAAAAAAATGTTAATCTGTGTACGAAGATGACACACTAAACTATTCATTTAAATATGTTTATTTTCCTACAAGAAAGTATGCTAAATAAATTTAAAATTGTAAAACGTGTGCATTTAAAAAAACATTACATGATAGCCTTAGTTATATATGTAGGTTCATTACATGTACTCAATAGGGGGCGTTAGGGCGAGGTGGGGTGACCGCCCAGTGCACCGAGTAAAAAGAGACGCCTGTAGCCCCTAAGATACCCTATCTTTGAAAACATTTTCTCCGTCACCAAAAATGGGTCGCCGAAAAAATCTCGCCCAGGGCGCGATTCTAAATCCGACCTTGTATATACTGAAAGAGTCCAAAAACGCATAAAAAGATTTTTATTGCATTCTCTTATTTGAATTTTTTTCACTAATTAACAGTATTCGAACCTACGACCACTATGATTGGATGGCTATTTAATTCTTTCAAATGTTATCAACACTATACCAATCATACTGGTAATTCCTATATACATTTAAATAAACAATTTTGCTATTAATAATTCAATAATATAAACTACGATATGTTTATAGATTCCTTTACGAAGAACAATACAAGTTGTAACATTGATAAGTATGCATAACAACTGCGGGAAGTTCGCGTAATGAATCTAAGCATACGATCGTGTTGAGAACACAAACATATCAACATAGCTCAAGTTGAATAGGTAACTCATTGAAGCATACATAAACAATTATATATTTATAATTATCTATAACCTATTATAAAAACATCTACGTATGATTTTTATAGTGAATAATAACATATTCTTGAAATTATTCTAGATTCTTTATAACTAGCTGTCACCCGGGACTTCGTCAGCACAGAATTAAAAAAAAAAGCCATATGTCCGCATGCAACAGCTACCTTCCTAACAAAGTCCCATTAAAATGAATCATTATTCGCAAAACATATATTAAATAACTAGCAGTCGCCTGCGACTCCGTCCAAGGGGGATTAAAAAAAACCTTATTAGTAGCCTATTTGTTCTTCCAGACTATATTCAACATCTGTGAAAAATTTCAGCGAGATCCATGCAGCTGTTCTAAAGAAACCTTCTAACAAACATCCATTGATCCATGCAACCATCCAAGGATTAACATTTGTAATATTAGTAAGATATGACATATCTATATTAACAAAACTTTAGTGCAGACATTGTTTACTCTGTCTTTTCAAAGAGAATAAAAGAGAAAACAATACACCATCCACGATATGACTAGAATTTCACTTAGATTGTAATAAATATATAAAACTTACCACTATTTGACTTAATAACACTGCTACGATAATCCTTATCATTTTGTGGGCTTTTGAAATTTGTTCTAAAGAAATTATCTGAGGATGCAACTATATGAGTATTCTGTCCAGTCATTAAGCATTCTCTTTCCTCATCTTTACATTTAAAATTTCCTATAAACTTCGTAAACAGTCCCGTTGGTGAGGTAACATCTCTATCTTTGGGATCTTTGAAGGTATTCTTCAACACATCATGCGATTTAAGTGCATTCTTCAACTCATTCACTACTTTTGAATGGGATAATGCTAATTCGGAGAGTATCGGAGGTGGTGAGGTACATTTAGTTTCCTTTGGTTGTCTGCTATCGTTTAAAATACATAAATTCAATTGACTTTTCGTCTGATACAGGAACGGTGCAGAATGCTCATCCCTGTATGACCCGTTTTCATCTTGTACAATCTTCATGGCATGTTCTTTGCCAAAGAATGACATCAGATCGTCATTATTATTAGGTGGATTGTCTAAATCAAACTCTAATGTATCAAGTAGAGCATACTTTAAAGCTATATCTGGTTTAATTATAGATTCATTTATAATTTCAGCCTGGAATATTTAAATTTATTATTAAAATACACATTTTTTGTTCTTTATATAATTTTTTTATGTAAATAGTATTTTATATATTATAAAATCAAATTGCATCTGTCCTCATAGTTTACTCTTAAAATACTTGTACAAAATGAAAATGATAGTGTTAGAGGTGTGTTTCTGCAGGACTAATCATCAGTTTGAATATATAAGAGTAAGAAATCTTGCAAATGCAATTCTTTTTATATGTACATATTATAATGCTTTAAAGTAACAATTAGTTAATATTAATATGATTATACATTTTAAAATAGATTATCACTTTATTGAGACTTATAAGAAACTTAAAGGAAAAATGATTAAACAGGTAAAAAAGTATGTTTGGGAGTTAAAATTAAATTAAAAGCAAAAATGAGGAAAATGGAAATTAACCTATTTCTCTACCAAAGTAACAGTAATTTGGTGGCAATATTGTACTATTTCTTGTGTAGATGCAAAACAGCGTTTACTTATGTAAATATTTATCTAACTAAATGAGTAGTATTGCTCACACGTAACTATTTTATAAATAGATACAGTTTTAAATAAAGTTAGTATAGAGGGCTACTAGCCATGGTAAAGTTTTAATGGTAAAAATGAATCACCTTTTCCTTATAAGACAGAGTATCCCAAATGTTTTCATATGCATTTTTAGCTTCAGTGATATCTTCATGTATTTTTGTAGCCAATGGGTTCAATGTACGAAAGTACTCCTCGGCGACGTCTCTCAACGCCATTTTTATATTAACTCAAATGTGTTAACTTCAATATTAACTGATTATCCCTAAAGCCATAGTTTTTTTACATTAGTACTGGAAAAAGACTCTTTAAATTCAAAGACTGTAAAACAACCAAGACATCTACTTCCGCGCACGTCAAAACAATCAATGCAATGCAAAATGCAAATGAAAATGCAATGCAAAATAAACCAGAGGCAAATGTCAGAATTGACAGAAGAAGATCCATAGACAGAATATTTGACATTCGTCAGGATTGTCTATGTTTCCAAAAGCCATAGTTACGTTAAATAAGTTTTTATAACACTTTAATTATTGGATAGGCCTTGAATGTCAAAATGGCTAACTCAAGCAGTGTTTATACACTGATATTACCGCGTAATGTACAGTTTGAACGTTAAATAAGTGTTTGTGTACATTTTACAACAATGTTGCACAACAGCGGTCCCTATGGACCAAACGAAGTGCCGATCAACATGGGCGCGCCAGTAAACATGACCCCGATGAGTGGTACAATGAACATTAGCAATAACATAAATAATCTTTCTAAAATCGGGCAGCAATCGACGGAAACTTCTAATGCGCATTACCCTGTACCGAACTATCCGACATATGGGCATCCACATTTAAATATGAACCCGGCAATGAGCCCGTTTCCAAATTATCCTCCAATTGGCTTTCAATCAAACTATTTTTCGCAGAGTTCTTCGTCAGTTCACGATACAAATTGGCAGAATGGTATGTTACCTATGGGTTTAAACATGCAAAATGATAACGGTACAATTAATTATTCTTCATCTTCTATGAAACGACCTGACAATATGAGTGAGTACAAAGAACATAATTTCAACAGCAAAATGTCTTTGCACATTCCGCAGGTGCACACCAAAGCATTCCATAAACATCTTAATATGGAAAACAACCATTATAATCACTACAACCATTACAGCCCTAGTCCAAGCAACTATAGACAGTATGCGGACTGTAATCTAGATTTAAGCACAAAATCTAAAATGGAAATTGATCCAAGACGAAAAAGCTTGGAAACAACTGTTAAACTAATAGAAAATATCCTTATAAACAGCACGAGAAAGAATGATACAGTTGAAACTAAAATTACCGAAGATATATATACAAACCCTAAACCCACAAGTCCCGTTCAATCCCATTCAAATGATAGCCTAAAAACATCTCAGAAGAATATAATTGAAAACCAAAGCATGAAAGAAGTAGATGAAGTAGATAGCAGACAACATGCTACAATTGATACAAGAGATGATGATAGCACATCTAATTCATTGCTTTGTAAAGAAGATACATTACCCGAGTCCCAAACCTCAACAATTGAAGAACAAACATCATCAGATGAGGAGAGTGAACCGCAGCCAGAAGATCTTACTTCAACAGCCATTAGTGCAGTAGAGAAAGAAAATATGACAATAAATACTAGAGTTGAGGTTAAAGTGGAGGAAACTGGATGGGTAGATACAGAATCTAATCCATTTCAAAAGGATGTTCACGGCTTACGAAGGGAAGATGTGGATAATGCCAACATAATAGCAAGTGATAAAAGTGTAGAAGTGGCAACAGATGTTATAAAAAATGGTACAAATGTTATGTTTCTTGTTTTTTTTAAGTTATGATATTATGAAGTACAGTACATTGTCTTGTATCACTGTAAAATGAATTCTTAAATAACTATAATATAGAGGTATTTTAAAAACCCTATCCTAAAAGATTTATTATATTAATATTATATTAAGGATAGTATTTCTGTTAACCAGTTTAGAATCTAGTAATTTTATAAATCGCCTGCGGTTTTGTCTGCATTGAAAAATAAATCAACCATGTTCTACATCTATTCCAAATTTTAGCAAAATCTCTTGCCATTCGGGAGATACCTTCTAACATACATCCAAACTTACTTATTTTTAAAATAACTAGTACTACCATAATCAGTAATCCTTAGATTAATCTAGATTTTAAACAATAAACCTAATTATTTCTTATAGGATTAGATGAAGAGAAACATTACGAATGTCCAAATTGTAGTCTACTCTTCAAGCATCCAAAAAGATTTCTCATTCATCACAAATGGCATTCATTCGGTCTCAGCACAATGAAGAAGTTGGATATGGCAAGAGAGAAGGAGATGAAAAAATCTTTAAGAAGAGAAGCAAGAGTTATACAAAGAATGAATATGAACGAAGTTACGGATATGAGTGCTGTGGGAAAAAAGTATTCATGCAAGGACTGTGATAAAGTTTTCAGTGCTAGAGGCAGTTTGAAGAACCATAGACAAAGGTAGAACAAAAAAAGGTTAAAAACCGTTAGTACTATTAGTTTCCACAGATGCAACATGTCTACAGCCTTTTTGTTATCTTAATTTAAATTTAAAATAAGAATAAGAAATATTTAAATATTTGCTTTAGCCGGCGACTCCGTCCGCACAGTATTAAAAGAAAATTTGTAGCCTATGTGTTTTTCCAGACTATGTTCTACATCTACGCCAAATTACAGCTAGACCCATGCAACTGTCTTGGAGATACCTTCAAACAAACATCCATCCATCCACCCAAGCAATCACATTTATAAGCATGATATATGATACATTTGTGTTAGTATATTATCAGTGGAAATCCACACTAAAATTCAATTGCAATTCAAATAATTTTTTAGTTCAACATAATTTTTGTGTGAACTGTTGTAGTATTAAGCAATTTTTACTATATTTAACTTCCTAGTAATTTTATACTGTCAAACAAATGAACAAGAGTTCAAGGAATCATAATATTTTTTTTCTTGCTTATGGAGGTTGTCGGGACAATGACTCTTGCTTATCCATATCAATTGTACTATATTTTAATAGTATTTTTTTCATATAACTCAGGTACCATCCAACAAGAGTGCGGGACTGCAAGATCTGTGGTAAAACAGTCTTAGGCTGGATAGCTCTGCGAGCTCACTTGACCACTCATACAACGGACTCTGGCTACCAGTGTAGTGATTGTCCTAAACGATTCAAGTATTCACATTCACTGGCAAAGCATAGAGATACACATTTGGTAAGTAGTTAATTACAGTCAAACCCCGGATAAGCTAGAAATTTCTATAGACCACAGTCATTGTCCGGTCTCGAAGGACCATCACAATTAGTAAGAATATCTCGGTCCACTAAACTCTCGCTAATCCAGGTTTGACTCTATAAATGGTCATTTTGAATATAATCTGTTTCAATACGTCAAATTAAATAGGTGTAATCAAGAAAAAAAACAACGCCATCTAGTTGGAAATAAGTGAAACTTAGTGGCAGAGCCCGCTTTAACATGTTCGCACGAATTATCCCTGCTCGCCCGGTGAAATACCACGACCATACAGAAGACAGGCGTCAAGTGGATGCAATTCCAAGTACAGTCTGATGAGTGTGCGTCCCGGAGGCCTAATTTAGTCCTCTTTCCCTTTCCCACCCTTTTTCTTATAAGGAAAGGATGGGAAGTGGACTTTATGGATGAGAGGATGCATGGAAAGAGAAGATATTTTCTTTCTGTGCATCCTCTCCTCCGTGGATTAAAGGTGTGCAACGCATATGCAATTGCGTATGTCTATCGGTAACGGTCACATCGCTATTTCAGCGATTTCAGGTGGCCGCTCGCTCGTTTACCGCCTTATAATATAAAAAAAAAACTACAACTTAAAAAATAACATATAAGTATATTATAATATTTCAGGAGAAAACACACGGCTGTGAACAATGTCCGAAGATGTTTGGATCAGTGAAGCTTCTGAAGATGCATATGAAGACTCACGAACGTGTGCTCAGGGGGACCACCTTCCACTGCACATACTGCGGGAAGGGCTTCTTTGAGTCTTACAGTTTGCAGGTAAAACCACAATATTTAATATGGCTAAAGATAAGAATTAATCTCATAAAATATCTATTTAAAAAGTCAAGTTGTCGTGTGAGACCATTTTAATATAAAAAAAATCTTAGTGGAATTGAAAGTGTTAAATACTACATGCCCACTTTAAGTTTTCTTTGCTTTCGCACCATTTTTATTAAGAAAAGATAGGAAGGAGAAGTGAATTGAACGTAGAGAGGATGCATAGGAAGGGGAAATATTCTCTGTTATTTTGTCCCCTTCTCCGTCGAATAGGCAACGCATCTGCAATATCGGATATCTATGGGCAGAGATCGCTTCGCTATTTCGGCGAATCCAGTTCCCACTATGCTTATTATGTTAACACATTGTTTACTGTCCAGGTGCACGAGCGCACACACAGGAACGAGCGGCCATTCCTCTGTGAAATTTGCAACACCAGCTTCGGTACTAACTCCAGTCTTAAGAGACATTTGAAAGTGGTGAGTGGGTGAACTCATTAGTGTGTTCTATTTTAACTACTAGCGCCATCTGTTGGTATGAAATGATGTTAACAATTCTGTTTTTGTATGTCTTCCGTTATCAGCTCACTATATGTCCCCACAGAGAGGCTCGGAGCCTACTCTAAGCAAGGTGACTAGGCTATAATCAACCACGCTGGCACAGCGCGGGTTGACTTGTTATGTACACGTTGCAGGTTATAGTGAGCTGATATTGATGTCTTCCATTACGTTAAAGATTTAAGAAATTGTTATAACTAGTGCTTTAGCTATAAGCTGAATATATTAAACTCATCCTGTCTTAATTTGACGCGCTTC